CTTCTGCATATCTTCAATCCGATGTCTCCTTCGTTGGTTGTCTTCCCTCAGCTCACACACCTCGTTCAGGAGTCGGGGCACTAGATATCAGAGTAAAAAAATTATGAGATGTAGGGCTGGTCCTGATGAGCCAATGAGCCTACAGAGGAGTCAACTACAATGGTGTGGTAAAACTGAAACAATGTTAACACATCGAAGACTGGAAAGTTTCAATGGGAAAAATACCCCATTTCCTAGATGCTTTACAGCAACTTACAAATTACATTATGTGAAAAAGCACCCAAGAGCAGTACCATGCATATTGATATGATGCTGCACAAAACATAGCTCTCCACAATCCACATGTGATGTTAGGATGGACAATCATGGCTTTACACATACACAAAGGTTGTCATGATGGCTATTGTGAAAGCATCTTTGCATTAGCTATAACTGAGGAATTCTCTGGAAAAAGGGCGCATGTGCAAAGGATGCAATTCGAGATAAATGATAAAAACTTCCCATAACTAATCCAAAGCTGATCAAAACTTCATTCTCAGTAAAATGGAATCTCATACATTTTTCAAAATGAACTTAGGGTTTTTATTAATTTCTTTATCTCACAATGCAGGCAGAAAGTGTTTATGCACATATGCCCTTTTTCCATATCCAAACTGCTGAAACTTTTTCCAAAGAGTCTTTCACCACTTCTTTCCCACTAAAAATAATATTCAATCAATAAATACATCGATAGATTTTATATAATATCTTTCTTAAAGAACAGCAAGAAAATTTTGAACATTCAGGACACGTTTCATTTGCTGATTACTCAGCAGTGATCCAGTATTAATGAATTCATTATCTGAATCTACAACTATTTCATGGATATCTTTAACTTCTCATATCCTTCCAGAGGCTTGAATGACTGGGCCTCTTTCTTTCCTTATCTTCATGTCTGTTTTCTCCCTCATTTTCATTTTCAGTTGAAAAGGACAAAATAATCGCACCAAAATCGTTCATCATCCAAGTGCTAATGGAATATTCATGGAGGCAGCCATATTGAATTTGCGAGGCAGTTGGTCTGCTATATAGTGAGAGCATAGGAAAATCTGCTTATCCTTTGCTGAATACTCATCTTAGCTACTTGCTGACCACCCTATCTGATGACAAGTCATCTAAAGCTGTACATGGACACAGATATGGAAAAAGGGAATATGGGCACATATGCCCCTTTTCCAGAGAACCCCTCAACTATCAATGGTACAAAGATGCATCAGGATATCATTTACTGCTCTTATATACCATGAATATATGCCTTCCCTCTACTTCCATTGTAGTTCATCGTGCTGGAGGAGGTCACACCATCATAAACTGAGGATGCCTTCCTTCATGTACTGTGATTATAAGGAGTTGTGCCTCTCATTGTTTCTTCTTTGCAAACAGAGAGGAAGTTGGGTTGCTGGATGAGAGGAAGAGCAGGGAATATCAAAATGG